AGATATGAGCAAAACCCGAAAAAGGTGGACTTCGAACCCGCCATTGCCCTTATCGAGAGCAGCTTCAATTTAACTAGGTACACTGCCAATTTTTGCTCTCTCGATTAATCCCGTCCACGGATGATTGCTGATAACACCGATAGGGTAAAAATATGGCTGAGAGGAAGACAAAGCAAGACCCCCGGTTGGTGTGGCGGGTAGCACGTATGTTCGTGCTAAGGGCAATCGCGGAAGTCTTATACGTAATTAAAACGTTGTGCGTTGACGAGTCGCTGAGTTATGCGCAACGTATTTGACTTCATTGAGCATAGCAAAGACGAATGAATGCATATTTTGCTTGCAACGTGACTTAATAAGGTCTATCGATATTTCACATCATTTTTTTCAGTAGTTTTTTTATCATTTGAGACTAGTCCGGTAACAATTTCCCGACTTTGGGGTGATGGCTGCTTGGTGTTCCCGTTGGGTGGTATCGAACTAGTAACCACGTGTGTATTATAGGGCACCTCTAGTCACTGTGCTGCACGTGCCCATTTTATGCATATTTAGTAATGCGAGTTGTACATTTCATTTTATACAATTTTATATTCATACTCATGTTTTCTGTATTCTATTACCTCTCATACGTAGGCATAGATGCGTGGTTGTAAAGGCGGTAGTTGTGATTTTTTTTCTTGCCACTGAGGTTCGCTTTTTGTAATGCCAGTAGAAAAATGGGAAGTGTTCTACTTAAGTTTTCGTGTCTCTGTAGTAGATCATTCATTAGTAGAACATTTTTATAACTCAATGCCTAAATGTAATTTTATTCAAAATACTTTTCTTTTTCAAGAAAGTCAAATCGTAAGTTTTTCAGAAGCTGACTTTCTTTTAACCTCGTTAGGAGTGTTCAACATCAAGTGTTCTTTCACTGACAAGCTAACACGAGGTTGATTAAAAAAAACTTTGTTCTGCTAACTCCGCGGCGTTTTTTAATCAACCTCGAGTGAGTTTATCAAAAAATAATACATGTAGGTTAGTCATATCCGCTGTGTGCTAGCTGATAGTGATACCGACTGTTAGCAAGATGGATTGCCAGGAGAAAAGCAAACGATTATCAACGAACAATCAAATCATAGATATTTTCATATTTTTCGTTTACGTCGACATCTTATCTACACACACTGGGTTTTTAATCTTTCAAAACCTTTTTCGTGTTGTATTGAACGTGATGAGCAGTCGCTAGTGTGGGGAGTTGAATGCATCTATGCGGTATTATGTTCTTAGTCTTTAATTGTCTTGTATTAATACATTCTTAACAATACTGGTTTTTCGATAACTTCTGACTTATCCACACTTGAAGACTTGAGAACTTGAAAAATCTATCGAAGGGGTCGCTATGATATCTTATCGGGCTGGCATGTGTAGTTCTTCTAAAACGTTTTTGAAGTTCATGTATTTGTTTGGAGGTGAAAAGATAATTCTTCTGGTTGAGAATGCATTGGATTCAATGCACATAGTGGCCATTATGTTGAAAATCAATGCATATACTCGCTAATATGTTAAACTTCGGGGTAGGAGCGTATTTTGTTCACATCTGTCATTTGTCTTTTGCCGGTAGACTATCATCATCTCTTTTGTTGTTGCTTCTTTTGCTTCGTGAAGATTTTCTCCTCCCAAACCAGATTTTAGAGTATGGTAAGTTCGAATTTACAGCTAAAATAGATGTACAGCTTGAAATAATTACATAGCGTTCAGTGTTTTTCGCAGTTGAGAAATTTCGACTATGTCTTTCGCTCCTAGTGGAAACCACTGAACTCTTTTTTCTAGCTGTGTTTGCTTGAAAAATTTTGCTAATTTTTGTTTCATTCAAAAATATGGACGCTATGTGTAACTGAAAAGTAGCCTAAGGTGTAAAGCTGCAAACTCACCTTGGTGTAAAGCCATGTCAGCATTATTCACAGTCTTGGAAGAAGCATAGCTTCAAACTGACATACCTCTCTATGAGCTACATGAATTGGCCACTGCTTGCGGTGACAGTTTGGAAGTGTCGCCTGGGAATGTGTATGTGAAAACCTGCTCATCCAGCGCTATACGTCAAATAGAAGTTCTACTTGTCCCTGCACTATTACTGAAGATCGGACTGTCTACGATTTAAGAAGAAAAGAGCTATAGTTTCTGATGTAATATTTGAGTATAGGTTTATGTAAAGCTCTAAAGCTGTCGGCGTTGATCAATTCCTGAAGAATGCGCCATGCATTCGACTTCATTAAGCATCGTTAGAGATGATTGAATGCATATCTGACCCTTACAATGACTCGCGGTGGCCTAGCGATGTATCGAGCTAGTGCTGCCATCTTCCCAGACTAGTCTGGTACCAATTCGCCGACCCCGGAGGGATGGAAGGCTTAGTGGGCCATGGGCGCTGGGATCGATTCCAAGTGTGTGCCACAGTCCCGCCTCCAACCACTACGCCACACGCGTCCTTATAGGTTTGTATAGTATTAAATATACAGGTGGAATAATTAAGGGCTAAAGAAAAGTTGAACAGTGATGTTACTGGAGTTTAGCTAAAGTAGTTGCAAGATGATGCCACCTGCTCCATTGATTTGTAGATCATGCGTAGAATGGCATTCCTAAGTTTTCCAAAAACGTCTTTCATCGTGCTCAATAAGCTCTATGGACGCCGTTATTTGCTCAGTAGTTTTACTGACTCATAATCAGATTAATCTACTTACTATTAAAGGTATCACTCGCTTTAATCAAGTTTTAATGGCGCTTCTACATTTTCTATTTCGATCCTGTGGTTGCTACACATCACTGGATCAGTGGAACTTCTCACCTAGTACTTTTGCCGTAAATTATCTTTTTGGTTAGATGTCATAAAGCTGGGTTTTCCTACAGTCTTGAGTTATTGATGCAGCACAATTCTTTCCTCCACCCTTGCATTTCTTTTCATGTGGTAATTTAAGTTGATCTCTTACAATCTCTGTTCGAGATGGTCTTCGTGAAATAGCATACTAATCTAGAAAGGGTCAAATGAAATGTGATCTGCTTAGCCCAGCAATTTCATAGCTCTAACAGAAAAAGGCAAAAATAAGCTCCGTTTAAGCCGCCATTTATTTTCAACGGAGTGGGCACGATGCTGATAAATCGGTGGCAGTGATCGAAGTACCATCGAACACTCTAGTTTATAACTGTTTGTATAACCATTTATGTACTACAAAGTTATGCCATTTGTCCAAACGAGAGGGACGATAATTGTAGGAGTTTTCGTACGGAGTACTTGATCTGTATTGCTTACGTGAACAAATACTTTGGCTGAACGAGTAGACTGCTCTGTGTCCGTATAAATCCACTAGGTACGCATTGGGCACAAGGGCATAACGAGGAAAATTTCAAAATAGAAGGCACCACTCTCGCACAGGAATTTACATATCAGTAGTGTCGTGATACTTTGTATAAATTGCAAAAAGCCAATGATAATTCCCGGCAGGAATGACTTTTTACCACTTATGATTTCGCACTCAGTTTGGTTTTTGACCTGAGACGGACACATTCCTCATCCGTATAAACTGCGAAACTGCTATCCATAGATAAGTTGATGATTTTGAAAAATAGTGTTTGAAGAAGCTATTTCCCATGTGTTTAAGATTTAGGTTTCGAGTTGTTTTTTGTCAGAGTTATGAAAGTTTTTACTTGAGTAGACTGCATGTCAATGTGACCCGTTCTAGGCTCTGAAAAGGCTAAATCCGCTGAAACATTAGCTAGTGTGAAGCAAGTGTTGTTATAACAACCTAGTGTTTAGTCAAGAAAAAAACTGGGTTATTGATCAACGCCGAGATTAACAGAAAATCGATGTGGAGAATATAATAGCGGAATATATTGTACTAATCATGGAAATACTCAAGTAAAGATGATTGCATTGGTATTTGATACATAGTTTTAATGGCTTTTATGACTGTTTCTGGATATGTTAACGTTGCGACACAGTTTGAGCACAGGATTGATTTCGTGTGTTGAAGGTTCGTGAAAGTTACACATACATACATGCAGACATATATATGTGTATACATATGTGTACTTTTTTCTACGTTTGTTACTTGACCCTGCATCACAAGTGTCACACTGTGTGGATCACAGCAGTTCTTACTTTTGATTCGTTTCCTCGCATCCATATACGAATATTTTGCGTGTGGCTTTAGATGCTGCTTGAGATTGCTTGTTTTCGTTATGAATGTTGAATGCTGCTGCTGGAGTTGATTACCTCCCGCATTCTGAGATAGCCTTGCTGGGGCGCTTTTGCGTGTATTCATGTGAGTGAACTTCTTTCAGACAAGTCTTATACTAACTTCTCAATTCTGGAGGAGTGGGGCTTGAAGCTTGGTGGGCCGAGGGCGGCTCGACTCGGTTGGTTAGGCTTCCTCCTAATGAGTGGGATCACTAGCACTGCGCTACTCGCTCTTATATATATGTCTGTGTGTAATTTAGTAAAGCTCTAAGGATAAAGCTCTCGGCGTTGATAAATCCATGAGGGTGCGCCATGCATTCGACTTCATTAAGCATCGTTGGAGGTCATTGAATGCATCTGGCCTTTAGAATAACTCACGGTGGCTTACCGATATATCGAGCTAGTGCTGCTTTCCTCCCAGACAAGTCTGGTACCAATTTGTCGACCCCGGAGGGATGGAAGGCTTGGCGGACCATAGGCGCAAGAATCGATTCCACTTGTGCGTTGCGGGGCCCCTCCGACCACTGCGCTACGTGCACTCGTGTTTGTTGTCATGCTAATAATGAAGGAGATGCGGTTTTTCCACACAGTGTGGTTTAGTATATATGAAAATTTGATCAAAAATATTCTTCTTCTGTTGATTTCAAAACGAATGTTTATGATTTTATTTTGTAAATAGTAAATATCTGAATATGTATTTGAAGCCCTTTGTATGTTTTTGTTCAACGTGTTACCTTCGCTGTGATTCGCTGCACTTCCAAATAGATGTTTACTTCCAGGTTATCCGCCAGGTATGCAAGGCGTTCCACAGCCTCAACAACCTCAAGCACAAGTTGTGGCACAACCTAATGGACGCCCAGGCGCAGCTCCGCAACCACAATCTCAGCGTCCGGCGTATCCATCTGGTGCCAATGCACAAACGCCTCCACAATATGCCACTTACCCGAGCGGTCAACCTGCTGGGTATCCTCAATCACAAACTGCCCAGGCCGCCGCATATCAACAACAGATGTATCAAAGGCAACAACAGGTTAGCTGTTTTCGTTTTCAAAAACCTGAGAGAGGTGGAAATAGAAGACAAGAAAAGTGGTTTTTTGCTTAATCCTGAGTTCGTTATCGTTGAAATCTATTGTTCAGCCATACTGTAAATATTTTCAGTGCTGCAATAAATTATTAGAATTTCTTTTCACGACCTTATAATACACCTGTATTCACACTTAATATACCGTAGAGATCCTTATTTAGAAAGTCGTAAATGGACAAGCGATCATTCGCGACAGCTTTCCAGGGGAATTTGACAGTACTATTATTTAACAATCCGTTGACAGACTTCTTTCGAGGTTATTTGTTTCAGCATTCGTCCGATAGCGAAGAGTTAAACATCTATTCCCTTCGCATTCTGTGATTTTTGACGTCATTTCGGCCAGATTTTAACGATGTATTGAATTTGTATTTAACTCTACCTTTTTTTGCAGAACAGTGGTGGTTGTGTAGTGTGCTTTGACATTTCTATGTTAATTGGTTTATATGCAGTGAAATTTCAAGCGGTCCAAGGTAGCAAAATCTAAAAATGGGACTAATATGTGGTAAATGACTTGATATGTAGCGCTATCTTGGACAGTATGCATTTGCGAATTAGCGAACTAATTCGACTGTAGCCAGTCGACTGTCGAAAAGCAACTCTACGTGGTTACCTTCCATGGAATTATGACCCGGTGAGCTGCACATAACTTCACGGAGGAACCGTGCTGAGCAGATTTTGAACTGCCAGTCTCTAGTGCTGCATAAGCTTCAGTACACGAGTTCAAAGCTACGTACTCTATCTATCACAACGACACCGCTCATTCGAAGACGAATACATTCAACCACAACGTTCTTGTGTACTGGTAGCGGAACTAGCGAGGTATGCAGTACTGAGAACTGCGCTCATGAAACCTTTTGTGCAAATCTACACCACCATCCACCGAAGGGAGGGGGAAGAGACGAGCTGTTTCTATCTTCTCCATGAAGATGCTTGATCGGAGGAAGTTTCGACGGTTAATCAACAGTCAGAAGCTTATTGATGGGGATCAATACTACATTTTATGTGCACTAGGATTATTAAACCATCAGGTTTTCTTTTGTTGCGATTTACCACGAATTTCCACCACGACAGTAACTTGGTCAATTTCGACAAAATGAACTAAGAACTTGAGCATTTGGAACTATTGACACTATTGACACAGCAAAAAGAACTATTGACAAAAGTGCAATTCTTCTCATGGAACGATTAATTTCGATTTCTAGTTAAAACTGTTTTGGTAGAAATGCATTTGATCTGTGACTGAACTTCGTGGTCTAGTGATAGGTCAATGTGGTTAATACAGCACACATGGATCTTGAAATAAATCTCATAATGGAAGCAGTGCACTGTGAAATAGAACCAGAATGATACTGAGATTTTAGGAAAACTCCGAATCGCAGATGTGATCGAACACGCTATTACCCTTTTCCGGGAGCAAACTGTAGTATGAAGTAAATGAAAAGTCAACATTATTATTTCGGCTACAGAGTCGCCTTAACTGAGTTCATTGCCGATTTGTGCTCCCAGATCAGTCTCGTTAACGGGTGATTCCTGATGCTACTGGTAGATATGAAAGTAGCTGAGAGAAAGACGAAACAAAGGATATGGATGCTGAGGTGATGAATGCGGTAGCACCCGGAAATGGTAACATCGTGTTCGATCCTCACCGCAGATATCTGCGGCCTGGAGTTTTGCAAACATCTCATTACAGTGCATTGTTTCATGCCAACTTCATGCTCGAATTACAATAAGAGGTTTTGGTAGTGCTGAGGCCGTTAAACAGTGCTTCCGTATACATTAATTTAATTTCAGGTTCCGCAGCACCAGCAAATGCGACCCTATATGTCTCCACAAGGCGCAATGGTGACATCTAATCATCAAGGAGGTTAGTGCTGTTGAGACAGTGAATTCTTGTGTCCCATCTGTCGACATCACTACTGATTTCTCATTGTTTACTATAGGCTATCAGTTTTCTTACTTTTTCTTTCTTATGGTAATGTTGCCAGCTTTTGAGGAAGAGTAAAATAGGACCGTGATAGGAGAAAAGGTAACGCAGTGGTCAGCGATGCAGTACATTAGGAAGCAAAATGGTAGGTAAACCCTCTCCCCATCGCTCTCCTCCAATCCACGTGGGAACGCCTCACCTTGACTATCTCCAGACTTGCACGGAGAACAAGGTCGACCAGCATTCTGCGAAATTCATGAAGAGGACCTTGAAACGGCGGCCGAAGCAGCTCACAAAATGTTCGAAAATTTTTGTAGACAAAGCGAAGAAAACGAATCGAACGCAAGAACTGTTGGAGTCCGCTCAATAGATGTGATGACGGTTCATGTAACAATAATAATAGTAATAATAATAACAGTGATGATAATAGTAATAATAGTAGCACTAAAACCTGATACTTGAACAGTCCGTCATCACTAGTTGTGCGGGCTCCAACATAATCACCATTTTTCGGAGATTTGCTGGTTTAGTCATTGTGGTTCTCTGGAACCTTGAGGTCAGCCTGGCGAAAGTCGGCCCCAGGCCGTCACCACGACAGGCAGTCGCAGCTCCTTGTGGATCAGAGCGAGATTTACCACCATGAGACTTTGATACCAGGACGGTGGTGAGTTCTGGTATTGGTTTACTCTTAGCTAGGCTTCCTGATGGAAACACCGGACTCCTTCTCAGCTTGGGAGACACTGCTGGGGGATGAATCCCCTAGCTGTACATCGCAGTCCGACACCCAGGAAATCCAGCCACGATGAGGCGGTAAACCGTTTGGAGAAGCACTGGCAATAACAGTGTTAATAATGTTAACTTTTTTCGGGTGGTTGCTGATGGTGTGGGTGCTGATCGATAGAACTAGCCGAGAAACAGGCGAAACGAAGGGCCCTCATGGTGTGGTGGTGAACGTGTTACTGCTCGGAAAGGACAATAGCGAGTTCGCTCCCCACAGCAGACAGCTGCGGTGCGGAGTTTTGCAAATATCTCAGCATTACAGAAGTTATATGTCGCAGCATACCCTGCCATTAAAAAGAATAGGCACTAAATAAAAAGGTTAGGAATGTTAACTTTTTAGTTACTTCCTATTATTAGTTTTCACGGCATAATGTGATGTGAAATACAACCACTATGATGTTAAGATTTTTGGAAAACTTGGATCCCAGCCCAGATTGAACAGCGATTACTTTTTCATGGGGCTCACATGTTACGTCCAGCACTGCTGAGGCCTTTCATTTGCCTTCCTCTCAGCCTTTTTCTACCTGATGCCCCCATCAGCGATCACCCTTCAACGAGTATGATGTGGGGGAGCACAAATCGCCGTTAAATCCATTTTATTGCTTATGGCAGCGCGGGGTAGAAAAATGGTTGATGAGGAGGCAAAGCAAGATCCTCAGCTATGCCGTGCATAACACGTGAGCCCTTGGAAAGGTATACGCGGTTCGATCTGGCCTGAGGTCCAAGCTTTGCAAATGTCTCAACATCATATTGGTTGCATTGGGTTTAATTTGTGCTTCCCAGATCGTTTCCGTTGACGGGTGATTGCTGATGGCAGCGTTAGATAGGAAATTGGCCGAGGCAAAGGCAACAAGGACGTCATCGGTGCCGTGCGTAGAATATGAGCCCCAGAAAAGGTATTCGCGGTTAGGTGTGGCTTGGGGTCTAAGTTTTACAAATATCTCAGCATCATAATGGTAGCAATAGCAATAAACCTTATGTTCCACAACAATCGAAGGACTCATTTCCGATGCGCGACCTTCTAGGGCGAGGGTAATTTTTTTTCCTTAACATGGACATAATTCAATGGATTGAAATCAATGTCGAAGCCTTTGTATTCTTTGAAAAAAATATTTTTACTGCAGTTTTATTTTTTGTTTTATTTTTACTACCCTTTTGGTTTGGCTGACATGAGCATTGTGTAACATCGGCATTTATATATACATATATATATATGTATATATATATATATATGTATACATATATACATGTAATATATATGTGATCTCTACGCTGATTCTAGCATTTGGTTCATTTTGCTTTTTTAAAATGTTTTCCTCAACCGGATCGAATGTTACTTCATGACACGCTGTTTTTTTTTTCTTTGCTGTCATGTACATTTTCACGGCAGGGTTGACAAGGCTGCGAAGTTCGTTTTTTATGTCTGGGCGCCATTTTTTCTTGTGTAGTTTTTTCTCAGCAATCTTTATAAATTATCTCGTAAGGCCTATATTTGGTAACTCTTGCTCCTTTTGGTATGAAATCATGTGGTTTTTTACGTTCTTCTTCTCCTCTAATCTTTTCATAATATCGTTCCTCCAAAAATGCGGATTTTAGAAAGCATGCCTTAGTTGCACAAAGTGTTTAAAGGATCTTCTTTTTATCCATACACATCGTTCATCGCCTTTCTCTGTAGTCTTATTTATGTATCGGTATTCAGAGTAGCATTCACCAAATATGTGCGTGGTAAACTGGTTCTGATGACTTCTTACTAAATCTAAATTGATTACTCTTGACATCTCTATTCAACGTCGTTGGACTTCTTAGAACAATTACTTCAAAACAGTTCGTCCAATGGTTTTTAGTTACCAGACTAAAGCGTATCATTACTACTGATTTTCCATTTTATGTGAGAGGTGTGCTTCTATGACTTTCTTAAGCATTCCGGAACTATACTTCATCTTTTAAAAGCATTCGATTCTTTTCCTAAGAACGACATAAACTATTTGATGTCGCTGACGCGGCCGGTGATTCTTCTAAAACCTGTTTTCTTTATATGCGAAAGTGCATTTTCGTGGTGTGTTGTATTCAACTTTCTTCTCTCGGCCCGCTGCCTGTCGTTTTAGGTGCAAGAGTCGTTCCTTGTAGATCCGCGCGATATCCTCAACAAAAGTGTTTGAAGTTCTCAGTGTTTTCATTGCATGAAATCTAATGTGTTAAGATACATTTTGTTGCATAAACTTTCATATTCGCTTCATAATTAGTTTCATATAAATTGTAATTTTATTGTTGCAGTAGTATTTCGCTAAGAATCTACTGTTTTTTTTTAATTTGTAATTCTTATTTGTTTTCTAAAGTGTTTTTTAAGCAAAGTGAAGTGAAGAATTTTGCTTTATTTAGAGTTTTTGCACATATTTCATTTAATTTTCCACTACAAATTAATGTTATACTCTTAGCCAACGTCATCATAAGTTGAAGTTATCTTCGCTTAAGTGAAATAAATCTGCAAAGTGGTGATAAATTCCTGCAGGCGAGGGAACGTATTTGCAATCGAATTCTTCGAGCCTTTTTTGAATGGTACCAACTGCTGTGATTTCTGAGCTATCCAGAGAGATCAAGAGGACGAATAGAGAGAGATAAAAAGAGCTATAAATGAAAATACCATGTATATTTCTCTAGTCGGTGTGCTTCGTTAGACGATTGAGGGAGCATTGGTTTTTTTTCTTTTGTGAAACTGCATTTCTTCGTGCCTTCCTTGCTTTCTCTTTTCCTCGGACATAATTCAGTCAATAGAGATTTCTTATAACCAGATTTCCTTCTAATTTAATGTTCGATGGGATACTTCTCGAATAAAATTCACCACATGTTATTATAAAGCTTGGAAACCTAAATCTATTGAACAAGTTGTTTTGCTCGAAGTTGGGTTTGTGGTATAACAAATGTTTAATATCTTTTTCTGTCATCTTGAAATTATTAGTTCTATAAATGACAAAATGGGCGCATATGGCGCAGTGGTCGGAGACGCCCTGCAATACAAATGGGATCGAACCCCGCGCCCAAGGGTCACCAAGTCTTCCATCCCTCCGGGGTCAGCAAATTGGTGCCAGACTTGTCTGGAAGGATAGTAGCACTGCCTCGATACATCGGTAGGCCATCGCGAATCATTGTAAAGGCCAGATATCCATTCAGTCACTTCTAAACGAGTTTATTGAAAGGGGCTTAATGAATGCATGGCCTATTCCTAAGGGTTTGATCAACATCGAGAGATTTATTCTTTATTTATCCTTTAAAGTGACAAAATTGGTATTTTACATCAGATTCATTATTCTGCAATACAGGTCAAGATTTCAATACACATGCGAAGTGTTGGATTTATTTCTATTTAAATCACAGTTTCCCATTGACACTGCTATGAGTGTGTAGTTTGGTCCGAATTTCAAATGTCTTTAGATGAATTCGAAATCTTTAAGTCGTAAGCTCGATTCTCAACATAAAATGGAGTAGCTGCAATTTTGGAAATATCCATTTGAACAAGTGTGTTTGAAATGTTTACTTTGCTTCAATTTGATTTCTGTTGATGTTTATTCCAAAAGTTACCTGTTTTGAGTTACGAAGTGATTCGTGTACTCGTATCACCACACAAAAGTGACCTCCCCACTTTTCGCCTGTGAAAAATAGCATGTTTCCACACTGAAAGCAGGTAAGGAGGAATCTATTTAATCTATTTAAACTTTAGTGCAACATTTTTTTCCACACCTCTTTTTGTAGCCTTGATTGAACCTATCTGACGTTTTCCACTCAGAATCCACCATAGCATTACTTCCTTGCCTGTGCCTTACATAGATGTCAAACTTTCGTTTATAAAACAGAATTTTCGTAATTCCACTATAACAGTTCGTGGCGCACATTTTCGCACTAGCACCGATGTGCTGTCGAAGAACATGATTTTTCTTTGTCTGATGAATCCGTTGGAGAGATGTTAGGGGGTCTAACAATGTCCGTTTTTACACTTATTGCGAGCATCCATATATTGCCATGGAATAAAAACAGTGATGAAGCTCAGGGGCAAAATGATGCCGCCAAATGTAGGAAAGTGCAACTCAAAAAATATTTGCGATTGTACTGAAAACAGCTGACTATAGAATTAGCCCAGATGTTTACCGTTTATGCATCAAAACTCTCCGTTTATCTGTGCTTATTGAATTTGTTCGGAGAGCTATACTGTGGTCATTAACATATCCCAGTAATTAGGAATAGTGCAGTTCTCAGAAGTCTTCTCATTACTAACTTTGCCGACATTCCACTCAAAGCGTCATAGG